GATTTGGTGATGGGAAACCCGTGGGGATTACAATTGAGATGAAAAAAAAATGTGCTAAATGATGTAAAAATAAACTTTTTAATTAAAAAAAAAAAAACTAGGTATTTTGGTTAACTAAAGTTCTAAAGGAGCCAAGAGTGTGATGGTATCAGGTTAAAAATAAACACATATCACATATCACGATGTGAATACAAGGAAAGGCAAAAGTTCACATCTGTAGCTGTTGGCTGTGGATCTCTAGAGAGATGCAGGAAGGAAGCCTTACAAAACCAGTCCTACGAGAAAGACATGTGGCTCAAAAAATGCCTTCGGGCAAAGAGAATAGTTGTTCTCAATTATCTAAAGTGGTTAAAAATGAAGAACTGATCTTCTCTTTCTCCAGAAAATAAAACTAAATTTGCTTACCAGGTAAGTGTATGGTAGTAGTGGGCAATAATGTTAAAGTTGGGAAGCACACAAAAACAAAGAACTCCTGGTCATTGGAAGTGCTATGGCTGTGTAACTATTTCATAGGCTTTTAAACAGGTAGATGCTTACATTAAGTGTGACTCTTTTATTTCTAATAAGACCAGGTCAAAGCTATGCATAAAAAGCAGATATTCCTGCATCAACGTTGGTGAAGTCTTGCTGAAATTTTTCAAGGCAACCAATGTAGTTAAATTGATATATTTTGCATAGATTATGACATCTTTTGTAGATCTCCTACACAAATTATGATACTTGAAATTACAAACTTTAGGGAATACACTTTGCATCCCCAATCACATAGATCATGTCAGCATTTCCAAAGAAGTGAGATACATATATAATGTTTTATAGCATTTCATGAAACATTCTGCTCTATCCATGGGGAAAAAGTTATCAAATTCATGAACCTTATCATTATAATTGTGTGTTTTAGTCACATTGTCATGAATATTCAGATTTAGATTGCTTGTTTATTGTGCATACAGGACACAAAGGCTGTAAATAAGACTTAAAGAAACTCACTGAAAAGAAATCACACCGGGGTCCTCCCTGATGGTGCAGCAGGTTAAAGCATAACACTGCCAAGCTGGCCATGGCTGCTTTGGTGCGAGTTCTATCCCCGGCCCCGAAGGTGATCCACATGGTGCTACAGACCTCTCCTGCCCCTCCGCTGCTCCCCTCAGCAGTGTACTTGGTCTATCTGCCTGTTCTGCTCCTCACTCTTGACTATGGTGAATCCTCTCACTGCCTATGCTCCTCTTGCCCGTACCCCAGTTCTATATGCATAAATAAGTAAATCTTAAAAAGAAAAAGAAAAAAAAAGAAAGAAAGAAAGGAAATCATAGCTTCTGTGCTTTCTTCACTGAATTTCATTCAGGATTTAAAGCAAGGCAATAGAGAAATTCCTTCAAAATGGCCTTACTTCTTCCCAGTCTAGAAAGATTCTGAGTTTTCACATGATGTCCCTGGATTTATCAAAACACAGGCATATATTTTTTAAAACAGCATGATTACATACTTACAAATAAACAGCCCTGAAAGAATCATTAGAATAATTTGTTTTATTTTCATATTCAGCAGAATAAAAAACAACAAATAACCACTGATGACTTTGGAAACTGAGCAGACCTGAATGTCTCTAAGTACAATCTACACTCAGAACAGAGGAGTCATCATATCTGCAATTTGAGACCAAAACAGTTTCAAGGCCACATTAAGAGAACAGATTGCATACCAACTTTAAATTTGGTAAGGTTCCGTCACTATCTCAGAAGAATGACAGATGAGATGGGAGAAAAGGCATCAGAAATAGGAATAGAAAATGTTTTCAGTGAAGCAAACAATTAACAACATATATTTGTGGGCTTGGCTCAATAAATATTGATTCCCCAATCCAATTTGATATTCAATCTAACTGGAAGACAATTTTGTTGTAAAGCATTTAAGAAAGGACTACTCCCATCTTGTCTATTAATCAGGGTTAGTAACTTTTCAACATTTCATAAAAAAGAATGATAAAGAATAATATAGCAGATGAAAAAAAGTTTAATTATTAGCTGATAGAGCATTAATTTCAGTATAAGTCAAGGACAATTTAAGCTGTCATTCTTAGATAAGCAAACTTTATTTACATCATCAAAGGAAGATACCCAGAGATTAAAATTATTCCAAAATACATAAAATGTTCACCATTTATTAATACCATTATTTACTTTATCTAATGGTCTTGGGAATCAACTGCTACATGACCTTCCTTTTTGCACTGTAATTTTAACCATTTCCTATTTACACTCAAATTTATATAATTCTATTACTTATAATAGTATATATTATTTTGCTTATGTATTTGTTTAGTGTATAAGGCATATTATTCAGTCAAATATCTACTAAGAGTAATCTGTATTAGTGTTTATCTAGATTCAATTATGAGATTTCGTCTTTAAATTTTTTTTTTTTAATGAAAGCAACTGCTGCCTTTGACCTTCTCTAATTTAAAGGAAATGTACAGTTACCTAGTCACATTACCTTCCTTATTCTTAAGAAAGTTCTGTAGGGCCTCCCTGGTGGTGCTAGAGGTTAAGACTCAGCACTATCAAGCTATCAGCAGCCACTACAGCATGAGTTCAATCCCTGGCCAGGGAACTAGTCCACACAGAGCAGCAGACCTCTCCTTTCTCACCATGCTCCCCTCAACAGCATATTTCAGTCAGTCCACCTGTTCTGCTCCCCATTCTGTCTCTGGTGAATCCTCTCTCATCCCATCCCTCTGGCTTACACCCCAGCTCTTAAATGCATAAATTAAAAAAAAATCTTTAAGAAAATAAGAAAATTCCATAAATTTAGCAAATTTATGATCTCCATAGTTAACCAATACAATACCTTAGTCAACAAAGGTTCGTTATGATAAACTGCACTGGCATCCTGTAAAGCCTGCTCATAGTTCCTCATGGTTAAATACAACTCTGCTCACGCAGCAATAATGAATTATCACCAGGAGTTGAGAGACATGAAAAATAGAAACAAATAAAAGGAACTGCATTTAAAAACAAATTGTCTTTAGTGATTAAAAACATTAAATTAAAAAACAGACTCCCCCCCAGGGTCCCTCCCTCGTGGCACAGCGGGTTAAAGCGCTGCACTAAGAAACCAAAGCCACTTCCGCATGGGTTCGATTCCCGCCTGCCTTGGAGGCGACCATATAGTGAGGCAGACTTCTCCTGACCCACCCGCTGCTCCCCTCAGCAGTGTACTTCGTCGATCTGCCTGTTCTGCTTCCAGCTCTATCTCTGGTGAATCCTCTCACCCTCCGCATCTCTGGCCTGTACCCCAGTTCTGTACGAATAAATACAATAAATCTTTAAAAAAAAAAAAAAACAGACCCCCCAAAAGAAAAACTTCTTCCCTCCAATTGTAAGTAGTTTAATAGCTTGATGAATGTATTTTATATTGCTTCTCTGCGGAAAATAAGAGAATTAACAAAACTTCACAATGTACCAAGAAAAACAGCCTCCTGAAAGCACATTGGCTATAAACATAACGTCCAATAACAAACGGTAAATACCTACTCATCTTAATGCTATAAATAGGTATTTAAAAAGATTTAAAATCATTTTCTTGAAACTACATAAGGAAATTCATGCTGAAAAATAAAAGTAACATAGATTTTCTATTCAAGTGTGTAGATGTGGATTTATCATTATAATTTAACTATTTATAAATATATTTATTATGATACATTTATAATTGTATCTATAATGTGTTCTCTTAAGTAGGAAAGGGGGGAAAAGCACCCTTCTTTTCCTTAAAGTCCTCAAACAACAGTGACCTCTACAGATATAAGCCTACCTACACAGAAGCCAGGAGTATTTCTCTCTGAACTCATGTGTCATATATGAAGTCTGACTTGGCAGGGTACCACAGAAAAGGGACTAAGCCAGAGTTCATGAAAACAGAGCATCCAGCCATTTTTTATGTTGGACCATCTTCCTTGGCCGATAGTCATTGTAGGATTTTTAAAGTTGGACAACAGTGTGTACCTTAGTTGATAAATAAATATTCAGTGCCTAAGATGTATCCTCTGATATGTGTTTTCAGTTTGCTTGAAATCCTTGCTCTTTACTTTCTCAAACTAACCGCTTAGTTTTTTCCAGATGCTAGTACATATCCTCTCTGTTTATATAGGTAACTGAGCAAGTGCATAATGAGCTCATGCAAAAAGAGAAGGTGAACAATACTACTTATGTGTTCTTGCTACAAGTTACAAAAGGAAAAATACTAGAAGAGAAAAAAACTGTAAAAGCAAATTTTTTTTCTACAAAAGATCAAATAGTAAATATTTTAGGCAGCGCCAAGCCAAAAGTCAAGCTGCAGGGTACTGGGCATGTATTTATACAAGGGAAGAGATAAATTCTCTTAAAATTTTTTTTAGTGAAATGAAAAATATAGTAGTATTTTTTTGCAGTGCAGGTCTACTAATGAATTGGAATTGTAAGAAAAGAAAACATTTTCCTTAGTATCCAGTGTGCTCTGTTATCAAAATCAGCTGAAAATGTTAATCTTTAATTATGATCTGGAATGGCATTTTTACATATTTGAAAATATCCATATGTACTATGAAATAACAATATCAATCCAGTGGTGATAGTGGACATTTTTCATTTGTTCTTGAATTTAAAAAACAAGTCCCTAGTATTTTAACATGAAGTACCTAGCACAAAGTACTAATATTTTTAACATCAAGTACTTCCTTCCTGCTCCATTTGCTTTTCTTCCTCTAGCATCTTAAAATGGGAGGCGGTAGATCACCAATTTTGATTGTTCTTTTGCAGTATAGACCTTTAAGGCAATAAATTTCTGTTTAGGGGCTGTTGCAGTGGAAACCCATAGTTCTTTTTTTTTCTTTTAGATTTGGTTTTTATTGTAGAGCACACATATCAGGGCAAAGTGCTGCACACACAACTACAAATCATTTTTGGGAAAAAAAGATGGAAAAAAAATAAAACTGCAACTAGCTTTAGTTGTGATTTTTTAGTTATGATTTTTCCCTAAAAAATTTCTGTCACTTTTATTTTTGTCACCTTTCATGTATCTGTGTGTGTATGTATATATACACACCCGTTTTTAGGGCATTCAAGTTTAGGAATGTTAAGACATTTTTTTCTGTTGAAATAATTCAATTATCATAAATGTCTCCAGTTCTCAGATTCTTTGCCTTCTTATCCATTATAATTTTATCATAGTAAGTTTCCTTTGCACAATCTTTGTATCTTTTTCTATTCCTCTATTAATTTGAACCTTTCCTTGTCTTTGTCTAAAGTTTATCACAGATGTGAAGAGTCTGTAGCTTTTGCTTAATACAGCCTGTCATTATTGGTTTCCTACTTTCCTAACTGAAATATTTAGATTGTTGACATATAATGCAAATTAAGTTCCATGTTTCCATTTCTTTTCCATCTGTTCTACTTATCCTCTGCTGTATTTTCTCTTCAGTTTCTTTTTAATTAACCAAACATTTAATATTCCATTATAGCTTTTAATCAATTTCAGTGACTACCCAATTACAATATGCAACCTTGATTTCTCAGTCTGCTTTAAACTAGTATTTTTACCACACCTAAATTGAAGTACTAGCAATGCAAAATTTAATTTTATTTATTCATCTGGGTTTTGTAGTATTACCTAATATTTCACTTTCATATATGTTATAAATACTACAAAATATGACTTTTATCAATGATATAACTGATATTCTTTTATATTCTCTTTCTATTCTCAAAAGTAACCATTTCAAATGTATTACTTATTTTGAAAACCACTCACAACTAATTGACCAAAATTAGTCAGATGGCACCACCTAACCCAAACAGGTAAGGGATCCAAATATATATTATTTGGGTTTTGGTATTCTACCTCTACTTGGGGACAGCATTTAAAATTAGTTATAATAATTAAACAAATCTTATAGCAATTAAACATCAGCCCCAGTCTAAACACAAGCATTTCAGATCCAAACACTTTAACCTTTTTACTACATCAAAATACTTTTGATATCATGAAATTAATTTTTTTTCTATAAATTTTAAACTAGAGTTTAAACTTGGCTCTCTTTTCTAATCTTTGATGGTAACAATATTGAATGCACTGAATAATCTTATGCTGAATTGACTATATCAGTCTGTTTTGAAAACTCTTAAATTGCTGCAGTATAGATGTAAAAGTTACAAATCATGAGTACACGGTTCAATCAAATATCACAAAGAGAACATACTATGTATCCCCTAAGTCAAGAAAAAGTATCATCACCTGTGGGTCAAACACTACATGACATACACTTCAGCGACATCTTTAAAGACAGATCACCCAACGCCACAATAGTGAAGGCAAAGATAAATAGATGGGACTACATCAAGTTAAAGAGCTTCTGTACAGCAAAAGAGACATTACTAAAAACAAACAGAAAGATCACTAATTGGGAAAACATTTTCTCACACAAAAGTAGCGATAAAGGACTGATCACAAAAATATATGGAGAACTGATGAAACTCAACAAAAATAAACAACCCCGTCAAAAAATGGGCAGTAGAGCTAAAAAGACACTTCTCCAAAGAGGAAATGCAGATGGCCAACAGGCATATGAAAAAATGTTCAACATCACTCGTAATAAGGGAGCTGCAAATTAAAACCACAATGAGATACCACCTCACCCCAGTGAGAATGGCACATCTTCAAAAAACTAGCAACAACAAATGTTGGCGAGGATGTGGTGAAAAAGGAACTCTCCTGCACTGCTGGTGGGAATGCAAACTAGTACAACCACTATGAAAAACTGTTTGGAGGTTCCTCAAACTGCTAAACATGGAGCTTCCTTACGATCCAGCAATCCCACTCCTAGATATCTACCCAAAAGACACAAAAATACTGATTGAAAAAGATACGTGTACCCCCATGTTTATTGCTGCTTTATTTACAATTGGAAAAACATGGAAGCAGCCCAAATGCCCAAAAGTAGATGACTGGATAAAAAAGATGTGGTACATATATACAATGGAATATTACTCAGCAACCAAAAAGGAGAAACACATGTCTTTTGCAGCAACTTGGATGGAGCTGGAAAAGATCATGCTTAGTGAGATAAGCCAGAAAGAGAAAGAAAAATACTGGATGGTTTCACTCATAGCAGGAGTATAATGGACCAGGTGGAAAATAACAAAAATAATGAACAACCATATACCAGAGACATTTTGTGGGGGTAGAGTAGGGAATGGGATCAAAAACGGGGTGGGGGGAGGGAAATGCATGGGATTATGGTGATGGCACATGGGTGACTTGGTGATGGGAAACCCGCGGGGATTACAATTGAGATGGGAAAAAAATGTACAAAATGATGTAAAAATAAACTTTTGTAATAAAAAAAAAAGTATCATCACCTGTACCTGACAGGTCCCTTTCATACTTAGCACAACTACCCTCTTTATTTCCCCCAAAGGTAACTAATCACTGCCCTTATTTACTTCACACAAGTGATGATAATTTTGCTTGTGTGGGTTTACAGATAAATAAAATTATGAAATAAAAAGCTTCTGAGTCTGGCTTCTTTCACTTAATAAGCTTGTTATTTGTTCACATGGCAATGTGTAACTGTAGCATTTATTTTTACTCTACACAGTAGTCCATAAAAACAAAATATAGTTACCCATTTACTCTATTCTTATTGGCTGTTTCCTCCTCTCTAGGGAGATCTCTACTGATGTTATGCACTTCTATATATGCTCAGTGCACACATGCATATACACCTTTAAATTGCTTGGCCAAAGGCCATATTTAACATTTCTGGGTAACACTAAACAATTTTGCAGAGATAATTTACAGACCCAATAGTAGCATACGATAGTTCTCAAACTCAGTTTTTACATCTCCTAAAGGTTAAAATGTGATCTTTTACATTTCCAGTAATATTTTTCTAAAGTTCTATACTTCCTCAGCCTAAGACAGTGGCCACCAGCCACAAGTAGCTATGAGGAACATGAGGTGGGAGTAGTACAATAAAGGAACTGAATTACTAATTTTACTTCTTAGAAATTTAAGTTTAAAAACTGATACTCTTCAGTTACTAGAAAAAATTTAATCAAGTAAGCCTACATTTTTAACCCTAAAATACATGCAATCTAAATATGGAGAAAGTATTCCAATAAATATTTAGTTTTTAAATTGGGGTAAGCAGTAATTGTGAAATACACACTGGTGTTTTGTTTTGTTTTTAACTGAAGATGTACTGAAAGAAAATTTTGTATGTGAGGTGTAAAAAAATTGTTAAAATAAATTTCACCTTTTTCTTTCCCCTTTTTAGATGTAACTACCAAAACATTTTAAATTACCTATGTTATTTAAACTGTTTTTTACTGGACAGTACTGTTCTGCATCACATATACACAGATAAAATAGTTGAAAATTCAAAAATATACAGCTTGTCAAAGCATGGGTATGTTGGTTGCAAAAATGGCACTGGATAGTTAGCAATTTAGCTTCTCCATTTTCAAAAAGATTCCCTAAGCTTGAAATAAAATGCCTATTGACTATAGCACACAAGATGATTCTCTTAGTAACAAAAACTTCAATCGCTGGTGACTTAACTTATATATCCTGTTTCAAAGCCAGTGACTTCAGAAAACTAATGACCCTCACATACACCTCTGCAGCATTTGGCCTTCCTTTTAACTACACATTCTTACAGCTCCTTGGAAGGGGCTGCGAAGAGGAAGCTTGGTGCTGGTCACAGATTTTATTGAAAAAAAAAAAAAAAAGTATGCCCTAGTTACAGTAACTATCTAATAAGTTAATTACATGCTAATGCCCTCTCATGGTCTTTGAGAAAGAACAGTCAGACGGCATGAAAGAATACACAGAGTGGCGGTAATTCCTTTGCTGGATTCACCCATCGAAACCCCAAAGTAAATTCCGTCCCATTAGAAAGTACTCCATTCCTTGCATCTGCGCTCAGTGTTCAATTATTTGATTTTCCTCAAAAACAAGTAAAAACTCTTTTGACATCCTCTCCCCCTACACTGCTAAGCAGTCTTGGCCTTCCAGGGATACTTGCGAAGGCTTCGGGTGCCTGGCAGTGACCACCAGAGGCACCTGGCTTCTGACACCAGGCACCCTGGCTCTGTCTTCACCTTAACACCTTCCGAAGGTAAAATAACTCCAAGCCCCAACAAAGCTCCCTACTCCCTGCTGCACTGCTCCACAGGTGTGCGGGTAGGGCCTGCCCACTTACCCAGGTCCAGGGCCTGGTTGCACGTGAGCAGCGCGGCCTCGGGCTATTGCCTGCGGCGCTGCAGACCCGCCCTCCTGCGCACACGGCACTCTGCGGGGAAGCACTTCTCCAGCAGGCTGCTCAGCACTACGTTGACCCGCCGCGCTTGGGGCCGCCGCGGCCCGGGCTCCACGCAGCGCTTGCACACCGTGAGCCCGCACGGCAGGGTCACCGGCTTGTGGGGCAGGCGCTGGCCGCGCCGGCAACCGAGCAAGTCACGCGGAGCGGCGAACGCCGAGGCCCGCTGCTCCTCGCGGGGCGCCTCGGGGGCGCGGCCCGGCTTTCCAGCCGGCAGCCGCCATTCGCGCTGGCCGAGGACGCGCGCGAGGACACCCGCCAGCTCCCCCAGCTCCTCGGGCCGCAGCGCCCGGAGCCGCGCAGCCCCACGGAAAGCTCCCAGGGCCTCGGTTTGACGGCCCTCGCGGGCCAGCGCGTCTCCCAGCCGCAGGCACAGGCCGCGGTCAGGCTGCGCCAGCCCGGCCAACAGAGAGCGGAAGAGCTCAGCGGCTGTCCCGTACTCGCCCGCGCGGGAAGGCCTCGTCTCCCTTCTCTAAGCGCGTGGCGAACGGCTCCCCGCAGTCGCAGTCGGGACGCTGGGGCAGGGCGGGGGGACCGGCTCGGGGCTCATAACCGCGGAGCTGCAGTGATGTGGACTCGGAGGGAAGAGCCGAGAGAGGATGCTCCGCTGCTCGCCGTGGGGCGTGCAGTGGCGGCCGCCGCCTTCGCCAAGTGTCGCGCGCGTCTGGGGGCCACAGTGACCACGGTCTCGGCGGGCAGGAGGCAGCGGCCCGGCTCCCAGCAAGGTGTGGGTGAATGGGCCGGGAGAGGACGCGACCCCACCCGCGGGGGCAGGCGCCGCCACTGCCCGAGCCCTGCCCACGCGAAGCACTCTTGGCGCTCCACCTGCGAGGTAGCCCAGGTGGCTTGTGGGAACGGCAACCCTCTCAGGGCCCGCGTCTGCTGCCCACCTGCTGCCTGCGGTGGCCCACGCGTGTGTGCATGCGCGTTCGTGACTCGCGTCCTTCTCGCGTGTTCTCTTCTGGCCTGAGGGCGCCCCTGGCCGCCCAACTAGTCGCTGGCTGAGCGTCACACCAGCCAGCACCGCGCACCAGCCTTCCCCAGGGCACCACCTGTGCATGTGGTGGAAAAGAAAACCTGGGGAAAGTTAATCAGCATAACCCCACACCCCCTAACTTTGACTTAGGAAATGGTCTGAAATGACCAGGAAGCGACTTCACAGCAAGCTTCTCTTCTCGGAACTCCAAATTTTAGACAAATTTTGCACTCATAATGAAGACAGATTTTAACCGAATACCAAATTAGGTTTTGGAAAGAAGAGGAATTTGAGAAACGGGTAATTGTATTGAGACCTTGATTAGGAAGTAGGAAAATAATTTTGAAAAACTAATGTGGAGTACTGCAAATTGCTGGAAAGAGGGAGTTAAAGCTGCATAGGTATACAAGGACTATATGTGTTCTTTGTTTTTATTAACCAGGTTTTAAATCTGCCTTTCTCTTTTGTTTCATTGTGTTTTATATATTTTGAATGCATAAAATGGGTTGCAGTATTCCAGAATCCATAGTGTTCTTTATTTCAAGTCAAACTTTGCTTATTCTTGTCAGTTTTGTTTTTGTTTTACTTATCAGACTTGCTAAAGAAAATGTGCAGTCCCTCGATAAAATATGACTTTGGCAAAGGGAAATGTCTTATTAAATGAATGGAGAAAATTTTAGACCATTACCATTTCACAAAATAGAAAAGGAGACAACTTTGGCCAGATCTCTAGTCCTCCCACTCACTTTTTCATGAACAATTTCCCTTAACTGTCCATTTGATTGATAACACTTGAAGTTGTGGTCAACCAAATTTTGTTGTTACCATTACTGAATTATTCTAAACTCATTCTTTGAGTTCTCACCTAATTTCTTTTTTAAAAAATTTATTATTTATGCATATAGAACTGGGATACAAGCCAGAGTGCAGGGCCGGTGAGAGGATTCACCAGAGACAGAGTGGGGAGCAGAACAGGCAGATCAAAGAAGTACACTACTGACGGGAGCAGTGGCTAGGTCAGAAGAGGTCTGCCACACCATGTGGATCACCTCTGGGGCCAGGGAGGGAACTCCCACTGAAGCAGCTGTGGCCAGCTTGCAGTGCTGCATCCCAACCCATTATGCCATCAGGGAGAGCTTCAGCTAATTTCTTATTACAGGAACAATTCACTTGTATTTCAAGGTTTTTTTTATGTAACAAATTCACAACATACAGCCAGGAAGCTTGGGGTAAAACAGCATAACAAAGACTATGCACTAAAGTTATGAAATTTTATGAACTCAAATCCTACTTGTTCTTCTTTTAGACAAATTTCTAGCAAAATAACAGAAGCTTGTTGGATGTATGCCTACTGAGAGCAAAGTGAGTTAAAATAATGTGTCATGAGGTTTGTAACATGTAGAAACAAATGTATAACAAAAGTAATACAAATCCAGCCCTCCCTGGTGGTACAGCGGGTTAAAGCACAGCACGAGAAGCTAAAGCCACATCAGCAAGAATTTGATTCCTGGCCAGGGAGATGACCCACCTGGCACAGCAGACCTCTCCTGACCCACCCGCTGCTCCCCTCAGCAGTGTACTTTGTCAGTTGGCCTGTTTTGGTCCCCACTCTGTCTCTGGTGATCCTCTCACTGCCCCTGCACTTCTGGCCTGTATCCCAGTTCTGTATGCACAAATAAATAAATCTTAAAAAAAAATAATACAAGTCCAAAGACCAGTAGAGGAAAAGTGGAAGTATTCTGTTGTAAAATCCTAGTACCATATGTGAAAAGTATATTATCTTTGTCCCAAACCCACTTTTAACCTATTTACTTGCACCCAAGAACTGAGAAGGACTTGAAGGAAATATGTGGAGGGGAGAGACATGTAGAGACACTTAAAAGAGATGTGTAGAAGAAACATATGGGTGAGACACACATGAACAGAGGCACTGGCAGCCGTTATCTTGATATTATATCTCCTTTTGCCTCAACTCTTCAGGAACGGCTTAACCTCTTTTCTGTGGTTCCTTGCCAGAAGTTACCTTAAACTTGTGGCAAGCTGTTGGAACTCAGTAGTTCTGCTTTCAGCTGACCCTGTTTGGCTAGGCATTTGCCCATATGAGGTGGGAAATTTGGGGAGGTTTACTGGGAAACTTACTAGGCATATCCTTTCTTCTCTCTATGCACACTAACTCTATTAAAGATCTTTCACTCTAAGAATCTGTTGCTTTTGCCTTGTGCATTTAGATGGCTGGATCCCTTTCAGCAAGTGCACATCTTAAAAATTTGGGGTCCTGGGTACCCATGATTGTATGCTAGTACCTGGTTTCAAAAGCGTATATAACCTAATTTCCTTTCTTAATCAGGAAGGTGAGTTTGAGTGTATTACCTACTTTGTTGTCAACTGATTTGCAATAAAGCTGATTTTTCAATTACCTAATGTCATTAGCTGATCTATACACATCAATAATACCTCATGAACATGGAGAGAAGCTCGTTAGAGGTATGCCTGCTGAAGCCTTATGATATACATATATGTATATTGTATTATCCAGGAGAGACACAAGGGATCCTCATGCAAATGTCTGTATCCTTTTATCTGTTTGACTTGGTACCACTCTCCTTATTTTCTGTTCCAAAACTTCCAGATGTCTGTACTGGGTTTCTTTCCCTGCTTCATGGTCCAGAATGTGTCTCCAGACAGAAGTTTAGAATTGTTTAATGTATAAAATAAACACTAAACAGTTACCTTTACACAACTGTTTTCCCTGGAAGGGAAGGTGAAGACTCAGAGCTAAGTGCCTCTCTGAACCATACGACTGGCCAATGGAACTACTGTTTCCAAGGCCACTCATCTGGTACTGTGCTGGCATGTCAGCATCAATAAAACATGAAAGGCTCTCCTCCCTAAACTGCAAGAATAAGATGTGTGGGAGCGTAAAGATGTGCAAAAAAAAATAATGTTAATAAAAAATTTTATGGCTAAACAGATGGGTGGCAAAGTAACTCAGAAGCATAAAAATTCTTCTGAAGATTTTATGAAATGCCTTGGGAAAATATGCTGATCTACTCATAGATGTTGTGGGCAATTTGCTACTCATCTGTATTTGTTAGTTTCCCTTGCCTAACTCTGGTACTTTATTGTTTAAGGGTAATTTGGGGTTCAATTCTCATGAGAAAAGTTGCAAGGATTGCAAGACAAAGTAAAATGTAGCGAGTGTGTGCAAGCACATACACATAAACACACATAAAGGAGGGAAGAAGAAATGATAAAATACTACTGGTAATTTCCTTCTATTTGAGATAAGGGAAGAAGATGTAGAAATCTCAGGGAAGCACAAACAAAATTCAAGGCAGCATTATGGCATACTTAGATAAAAGTGTTGTCAAGAACAGAAATGAGTATGTTTTAGAAAGAGCAATGAGGTCAAAAGTTTCTGAAAATGACTGCCATGCACGCTGGGTTCATGAGGATACTGTGGCTCTGTTCATACTCAGTAGGAAGTAGTATGAAACTAGCCAGAGACCAGTTGTGTATCAGATAATTTACTAATCCATGTTGATATGAAAAACAAAACAAAACAAAACAAAACTGGGTCATAGACTATTTCCCATAATTTAAGTGTAAGTTCCCTCATATAGAAAGAATCATCTCTAAAGACTGAATTCTCTTCCATGAGGCTTGGAGAAAGTAGGGTAGCTAGATTAGAAAAGATAATCAGTGTCACAGTTTCCATAGTAAGTGAAGTATTAAGAATAAGGGGCAAAACAAGTTTAAATTCAGAAAGGCCATGTGTAGTCTCCAATATAAACACCATGACTACTAGAACTAGGATCAGCACTTGAACTGCAAAGTCAAGAACTAATCAAGACTAAGTAGAGGAGTAATATAGTTTAGGGAAAAAACATAGGGGAGGGTTTCTGATTGGGGCAAAATCATGATGAGATCATAATTTTCTAACTTTCCCTTCAATCGCTTTCTAGCAATGGACGGTAAAATAGCTGACATCATCACATATCTTCAGTAAAATTAAGTGACAAGGTATCTTACAAGACTCAAAATATGTCAAGTAGGTCAAATAATCTGCCATCCTTAGGACCTGTCTCTCATAAGAGATATACAAGTGTGTGGAATGGAGATAAGAGCATAACAATAGATCTCAACTGATGTGGAAACCTGCACATGAACTTCAGACCAACTGGCAACTTGGGAGAAATCTCTACAGGTTCCTATTTGGGTTGGGTACAAAAGACCTCTGAGTCCCATGGAAGCGCAGTAAGACAATCAGCGTGTGACCTGTACTTTTAACAAAGCCTCCTTTCAAGAAGGACAATGATATAGTGGTTAAGGAAATGACTTGACAGACAGGATACTCTAGACTCCATTCCCATCTGTGATTATAACTTGCATCATAACCTCTGGCACACCCTGAACTGGACTTCCTGAATGAGGGGCTGCTGTCTTTTATTGTTTTTTGACCACCGATATTTAAAGTTACTATTGATAAAGTTGGGAAAATAGAATTGTTGCTTTCTAGTCATTGTGGCTATTCTGTTTCCTTTGCTCTCTCTAGACTGAAACATTTTACATGAATCCATTTGACTTCTTAGGTTCCCTCAAGTTTGCAATATATACGCACAACTAACTTAAGTTGACCATCAAATAATATCCTGCCTCATATTCAGTGCCCAGTCACTGATATGCCCATCAAAAGAATTCTTACTTTGTCACTTTGCTGTAAATTTCAAGCATTTCCTTTTGATTTTTGAGTTTAGTGGTTAGGGATGGGATGGCAAAACAAAATAGATATGGTAAGCTGAAAAGACTGCAATTCATGCCATGCTGTGGTGAAATACTGAGTGGCACTGGCACCTATAAGGTAACAAAGAGAAAACAGACTTTAGCGGAAAAGGCAGGAAAGAGGCAAAATGCTAAGTGTATTGATCATTCCTCTCTATAGTTAGAAGAGACAGAGACAAACTTAACTAGAGTAACTTGGCAAATGCACAGAGAAAGTCCAGAGATTTGGGGCCTTACAGATCTCAGACAACAGAAAGGAAAACTGAGGCCCACTAAGTCTTGTCAGGTAAAGAAAGCTACTCAGCTTTGAGTATGATTGTGACATTCCCATCCAATCCTTGTTTTTCACATGGCTTCAAGCAACCATCACCAATATGGTCATAGGCTTGTTGAAGAGTTAAGTTCTAGTTCCTATAAAATTCCAATGGAAGACTCTTAATATGGTATTCAGTAAGAACACTTACTCTAGTTTCTCCAATAGAACTCTATCAGCAGCTTTTTAAAATTCATTTGTTTTCAAAATTTTATAAATTTCAGAGATGTTGTTTCACATCTCAATAATATATATGCCACACTGCATCTGCCGCCAAATTGTAACAATACAATTTCATGTAGCATTAATCTTGTCAGAATCTTTTTTTTTTTTTCTTGTCAGAATCTTATTGGAAAACATAGAATGCTACCTATGCTGAAGAAAAAAAAAAGTCCTGCTCAGTTCTTCCACGAACTTTTCCAGTGCACCTGCCGTTTCTGGAAACTGTCCCCGATTCACCCTTACCTTTTAACTGTGACCTGTGTTCCAGCACTTCTCATGCTGTGCCTTGCCTGTGAGCCTGCTGTCCTGCTCAGTTCTAGAATCTCTCCATTCTGGTGCAGTACTTTCCACGTCGCAGGGGCTTGGAAAAGGTGTGCTGGCTGACTTGACTTTCATTAAGTAGGTGCCTTCTTTTCAAGTAGCTGCAATCTCACTTCCCCCTTCAAATCCAGATTTCCACTGTTCTCTGCTTTGGAGATTCCATTTGAACAGGTCATGCTGGTGTTTAGGGTGGGAATGGGTGGCTGGCAGGGGTCACTGTACCCAAGTAACCCTCTGGAAACCCTCTCTGTTAAGAGGCTCTTCCATGGTAGTGCCCGGGGCCCAGCCCTGACCCCCACCCCAGGGGCAGCTTTCCATTCCAACGCCTTCCCCTTGTCCTTGAATCCTGCCCCTGTCCTGTCCATCCACCTCCTTACCCAAAACACAGCTAAGATAGCTTAGGAGTGCAGGTATAAAGAGGGTGGGGCTAAACGGCTTCAGGAAGCAGAGAATGGGCACCCACTCCTCAGGCTTGGAAGGCAATTAGAAGACCTCAGTGGAGGATGGGAGCTAGCCAGGGGCCAGGTGTGACTCAGAAGCAGTGGGTAGGGTGGTGATGGGGAGTCCTACTGCACACTGAGAGAAGTCCCAGAGATGTTCTGGTGGCAATCTCTACTTGTTTGGCAAAATGTTAGGAAAATGCCCAAATGCCAGAGGAAAATTGCCTAAATTGAAATGCTGGGGGTTGTTCACACACACAGGTACATTTCCAACAGGAAAGAGACAATCAACTCATCAGAAGTGAAGCAATTTTAACAACTTTGCTGAAATGTCATAGAAGAATAACTCCAGTGTCATATCCTCTGCGTGTCAGTGGAGATAAAGGGTACCACAGACTTTCCCTTCATCAACACTGTGGCTGGCAGCAGTCTGGCTTCCTCCCACAGTCTGTCACCAGCAGCCAACCCAGCGGGCCTGTGCTGCCCAGCACTGTCACCGGGCCTCAGAAAACACGTGTGGTCCCTACGCACCTTCCCCTGGGACTGCAGTACGTGTCAGGTTTGGCACGTATTTTGAATTTTATTTTACTTTTACATTTACAAAATTCAGGAAACCTTTTGAGAAAGGGAAGGCGGAGGCTGCCTGGGAAAGCTGGGTTCACAGGCACTGTGCAGAGTTGGGTACTTGGGACTTTTCAAGGGAAACTGTCCAGTATCTCGAGTCTTCCTTGCCAGGCAGCTGACATGGTCACATTTTCTGCTCGTCACCGCCTGGAAGATGTTGCTGGAGAATGCCTCGGCCTGGGATTTTATTGCTGGTGAACTTGATTTTCCAACTTAGAGCCATTTAGTCCAGGATTATGGCATTATCAGAAATGGGTCCAGTGGTAAGCACTTCGCTGAAAAAGGAAGCTGAAGGATGTAAACTGCACTAATTCTGCAATGCTGGCATGATGCCTATATTTGCCTTCAGCCTAGGGGAGTACCCTGAAGAAGACAGGGAGAGAATCCGTGGTACCCATCCAGCAGGAGAGTCAAAGAAAAGATGGATGTGTCCAAACCCACAGCAGCCTGGACTCCAGAACCCACCCAGTTCTTCCTTTTCCTACACATCCTTTTTTAAGGCTTACAAAGTTGTTCCCTTTCTCAGATGGAAAAAACATACGCACCCCTCGCTTTCCAAAATTGAATCTTTTGGTCTGAATGCTATTACTACTTGGCAAAGAGATGTTCAGGACTATGAATAGCAGTATCAAGCATTATTCTGCAAAGATGGATCATGGCAAAGTGCCCTTGGGTCCTCCCTGAATCTCACAGGTCACAGGAACAAAACAGTCCTTGAATAGTTTGCCTCTGTGATCATAGCAGCGACAAGACAAAAACCAGGGGTATTTTATTACTCAGATTCTATCTCGTATTAGCCTCTGTCGTTTTGCAGGCCATTAGCCTCTCCATCTCTCCTGAAAGTGCTTGGTGCTATTCCTGCAACCCACCAGTGACAACAGGGCCCCCATCTGCAGCACTGCGGGTGTGTCCACCTCTGTGACAAATGAGGAAAATGACTCCTAATGCCATGTAATTTTCCCTCCTGCTCTGCTAGACTGCAAATGTGTAGTCTTTATCCCCTTCTGAGGAGAGCAAAGTCCAAGTGGAACAGGTAGGTGTGAGGAGTGAGGGCCTTCCGAGCACCTATGTCCAAACTTAATTTTAACAGTCAGGGTCCAGCTTCATGGGTTCAATCACGCACAGGTCTCTGGTATACTGCCAGAGTCTTCAGAAGGCGTGTGATGGAGGAAGTGTCATTTCTGTGGTCAGATTCACCCGGCTGATATCTGGTCTAGCCAAGATATTTGAATGCACAGCCCTATGCATTAGTTCAGCAAAAAATCTGGCTTGTGATACCCAAAGAGTTTAAAGTCCCCTTCAAAACGTGCATACAGACGCCGGATGTCTCGCTTGCTGATGCCCAGGAAGTAGTTCTCCACCTTGGTTCTATTATACACTGTAATGCCGGGAGGAATGGCTGGGTAGGAGACCAGGTGGTCTATGCCGGCTTCTTTTAAGATGTATGGGGCGTCATCCTCCAGCGTCTCATGGTGGCCGATCACACTGTACTTTATCTCACAAGGTGCGCACAGTTCTACATATGTCACCCAGTGAATAATGTGGTCCCCAAACTGAAGATCCAGCCATCTATGGTTAGGGTCACCCAAATAACGCACGAAGTCTTCAAACTGGATGCCCCTGGTCTCTGTCCGATTCCTTCTGTATTTTTTGATGATGCCAGGAGCAATCTCATGCCTGTACCAAGGTTCAAAGCGAGGATTATGAACAAACTTGTCTTTAAATGCAGAAATCAGTCTTTCGAAGGGATCTCTTACGATAAAAAACTTGAAGTATGTTTTCAAGCTAAGGAAAAAAACAAACAAGAGGTTAACCTGACACTACTGGAGGTGACAGCTGTGAGGGTGGGGTGAGTGAAGAGCGGTAGGCAGAGCAGCCCTGCACTGAACCCCCATCCAGGCTGGGCCCTGCGGGAGGCGCTTACCTAAGCCACTCAGACACCCTTGGAAGCAGTCCTGTTATAATCATTACAGGTGAAGAAATGGGGGCTCAGAAATCTCCACTGCCCAAGGACACACCACTCAAAATCGTAAAGGGCCACAGTAGTAGTCTTATACGTCTCATATAGTAGTCTTATATGTCAAAACATCAGGAAATTGTATTCCTGTGCAGGAAAGTGTAAGGGAAGGAACTCGGAATGAGTTAGGAAAAGCTTGAAGGCAGAGGAAGTTACTTTCAGGGTGTATTCTTAGAGATTCAAAATTGCCAAGAGAAGGAAAAATAAGAGGGAGAAAGGGGTAAGAGAAGATGCGAGGGAGGCCTGGGGCTCCAGCTGGCAGGAAAGGCAGCCGGGGTGAGCTGCCAACAGGGGCAGAACGGGGCCCATGTGGAGGGTCTGGAGCCACAGTTGTGACAAACAAGACGGCTTTGCGTCCTCCGTGCCAGGAGCCACGCTCCCTGCAGCACGTGTCTTCGCTCACCCACTCGCACAAAGCCATGAACGAAGCGCCTAGGGGGTCACTGGTCAGTCTTTACCCAGGAGAATCTGAGCCGGCACTGTACACCAGAGGTTTGCACAAGTTGGAAAGACTGACTAGTCAGGGCCAGGGGAATGAAGAACGAAAAGCTGAACAGCGAGGCAGGTGCCCTGACATTTATCTGTGGTTCATACTTTCTTACTCCCTTAAACTTCACTTCGCAAGGCCACTTCACAGTTAACAAAGAGAACCTGTCCATTTATTAGCTAAGTAATTTTGAAAGTGCCAATGTCTATTCTGACTATGATCAGCGAGGTCTGTCTCTCTTAGTGTGAGGTCCTAGCCACACCACCACGCCCCAGGGGCAGCTACTGTGGAAGTTGGCTTAATTCCTTTGGAAAAAATGAGAACTCGAGTGGGGTTTACTTGCAACCCAAACCCCTTTCCTTATGAGAGAAAAGTCCTATTTAGTAAGAAATCCACAAAATTTAACATAACCAAAGCCAGACACAACTGACGACTCATTTCTATTAAGAAAATTATGTAACCTTTATTTTAATGGACTATATGAAAACCAGAGTGGAGATGTTCTGAAATACTCAAGTTTGGTGAATTTAAATGCACTGAACACTGGGCATGTGCTCAGCTGCCTTTCACGATGCAACCTACAGCCCCAGGTAGTGTTTGGAGCAATTTGGGATGCACAGCAAGTCCAGATCTGAGCCTTGGGCTTTATCAAAATGCCCCTTCCCTTTGAGAAACTTGCTCCTACCGCTTCTGAATTTCTGCATCACTGAAGGAAGAGAGCCGAGGGAGGCCATTCTTCTCATGGTCGTGAACCACATTTTCAGGGATCTCTTCAATGGAAGGAAATGCTCCTGGGAAGTAAACAGGGGAGAAGGCTATGTCGACTACTCTTTCAGTGCTACCCTGAAAATACGACACCCTGTCTCTTAACTCACGGCCCACATTCCTCACAAGCAATCTGCAATAGCCAGGTTTGTGTCTTTGAATTCGAAATGCTTCTGCTGGCAGGGTGAGCAAATGAAGAAAGGTTTTTGGCACCAGCCAACCAGAGATAACAAATGAGTTCTGGGGGTGGGTGGGAAAAAGGGAGGGAATAAGGGGTGTCTACCTCTGGCAATATACCTAAATTGGGTTAAATTTGACATCTGATAAAAGATGTAAATAGAAATCCTAAAGCCAGCAATACTTATTCTATTCTACAACCGGGGAAATAGCAGAGAAGCTGAGCCACAAAATTGCTAATTTATGCCCACAGCATCATCTGGGGCCCCTGCTCCTTGTAGATGAGGTTCTCAGCACCACATCCCCAGACCTCTGGTGTTTCCTAGGCAACCTCCAGACATTCTAGACTGGCAAGAAGCACAGAAGTTTGCTGCTAGGCAAACCTGGCTACTGTTGGGGGAGTGATGTGGTATGTTTGCAGCAGGGGTCAGAGGAGGACAAGTATCTGATAGGCAGGGCTGAAAGGAACCTGGCTGTATCAGAGAGTTGAAGGGCAAAGCAGGTTTTCTCTTTTCAAATCACACGAACAGAAATAAAGCATGGACATCAAGCAAGATGTCAGGTCACCCTCTGCAAAACTTCACATCCATTTTTGTGGTAATTCATCATGCTAAACCCAGACTCTGGTGAAGAAGAATCTGCTGGGCCATCTAAACAGTGGCAAACATTGCTATGTTCATTCTTCCCCCAAATACTTTAGCAGCAGCCCATGCTCTGTGCTGAAGAAACAAGCAAGATGAAGCACTCAAGGGGATGGCAGAAGAACCAGCTCTTGGATCTGCACCTGGACCTGTTCAGGTGCCTATCCCCATTCCAGGTGAGTCTAGACAACCACAAGGATCATCCCTTTTCTACTGCAGGACCTGGAAACTGCTACTATTGATACCTGGGCTTGACTTCTTTGAAGTCTGATGCTTCATACTAGTGTGGTAGATTTGTTAAGACTTTTGTACATTCCTTGCTTTAAGTTTTATTTGTAACCTTATTCTCCAATATCACAAATCCAGCATGCTGTCAGATTACTCAAGAAGCGCATTAATTATATACCAGAAGGTGAAGCAAGTGTCTCCCTTAACCAAACACAAGAGCCAAATGGCAGGAAACTCTGACTTGCAGCTTTGACAGACCGACAGAGCGAGCACTGGGCTGCAGGACAGAGGTCCCCAGCGTCATGATCCCAGGGCTCCCAGATCTGACTCCTGCATCAGGAGTCACACAGCAGTTAACTGACACTGTGTTGTTCCCTTCGTAGCTGAATTTAACAGAGAGAGCTGACAGCTGGCCCTTCCTTTAGCTCCTCTCTGCTGTCCTCCTCTGCTCCCTTTCCCAGGCCACAGTGACCTTCCCTGGGCAAACCCTGGTGTCCATGGACATGGACATTTGTGGGGCTCTGCACGCACCATTTAATACGATCAGCACTTTCTTCCACTGTGTGTTACCCACTTTGGGAGTCTGGCAGAAAAGAATCTTGTGCTTGTCACACACAAATATTCGGTCTAGGACAAACTTGGAGATTGCCGTGTGTAAAAGATTCTTAAGGGCTTCATCCCTGCAGACATTTCTGATGAGTTCTAGGCGCTCCATGTAGACCAGAGGTTGGACAAGCCGGCTGTCTGAAAGCATTTTCCCAGTTGGCTGCAAGTAATAATGCACAAGGGCTTCATTAGAAAGCAAGAGTCTTGGGGAGGCACTGCTCCCTAATCTTGAATTGAGCTAATAAGCACACGGGAGAAGCATGAAGCTGCCCTCACAGAAACAACAGGACAATGTAGGCGTGCTTCAGTTAGGGGCCCGGGATGCAGGCTGCATGGAGAGGCTGACCCACTGTTCATAGACAACCAAGTCTCTGTGTCTCCAATCCTGGGGAAACTGAGGGGGTAGTGGACTGTTTATTATTTTGCTGATGGCATTAAGGCCCTTAATTTGCTAGAAATTTTTCCTTCAGGAAGGCTGTGAAAGCAAGCCACTTTCTGCTCTTTTCCTCTGTCCAAACTTCCCCTCCACATAACTCCAACCCTAGGGACCAGGTGTCTACACAGATGTTGACTGTTTTGAAGATACTCTGGTAAACTGGAACATTTATTTTTTTTTTAAATGCCTATGTCATTCAAAAGGGTTTTGAAAATGCAAAACTTCACTATGTCCTTAGTTGAAAGCACACAACAAGCTCTCTCTGTATGAATTTATGAAGAGTGGCAGGTTTTGCTTGGAATTTCTGTCAGTAGGAGCAGAAGTGTAGCCACCATGAGCCAATACTGGCGCACAGCACATCTGCTTATGGGGTCATCAAACCTGGTAAGAAAACCTCTACGAGCTGTGGGGCTCTGATGCCAAACCCCTGCCTGCCAGGAAATGATGCCTAGGAGCCAACGGGTGCAGGTGACCTGGAAGCTCACATCAGCCCGGCCGTGGGGTCTGAGCTAAGGGTACAAGACGCACAAGGGAATAAGCTGCTGCTGCTCCTTTCACTGTGTGACATTTCAGTCTTTGAAGTCTATTTTTTTAAGCAACTGAGTCATCTGGAGTCACAGGTCTCTGACTAGCTTTTCACTCTAAACACAGCGCCCAGGAATCGTATTCTAGTCCACCAGCAGGTCAGGCGGTCCTCTGCTGCCTCACACGGTAACATGCTTGCACGCTGGGCTGCCCTGTGCCCCAGCAGTGAGCACTGCAGAGAAGTCTGTGCCCTTCTCTGCCCACGATCATTCCCTTTAAAGGACCCATTTTTAATACCTGTTTTGTAGATTTTGTTTGATTCTAGCCCGTAAGGAATTTTGCCAGGATTTGTCTTTGTGGTTCTCTGCTAATTTTGCCTGGGATGCAAATACCCCGAGTTGAGGAAAAGTACTTTCCTCAGGACAGTTGGGTGAGGTAGAGCTCATGTAAGATAAAGTCATTTTAAGCTAGAAAGCCTCTGCTAGCAGGAGTTTCTGCCCCTGGAGCCTTCCCCCCACAGCTCCTGGGGTCTTCACATCTAATCTAAGGACTCCTCTTGGCAGAAATGCTCCAATATTTGTTCCCAGTGGCTCAATTTGTGATACAAGTGATATGACTACCTATCGAAATCCTTCCTCCTTCTTTAAACTATATTAAGAAAAACATAAACATGTGTTTCTCATAGAAGAAAGAGTCATGTATCATATATATGTTATACTTAATGGATGCTTTTTAAAAAGGAGATATATATTGACTGAGTTATGAACTACAGTGACCACAGCTGATGTTTCCCTTTTAATTTGGGGCATTCTTTAAAATATACAATTGATACGTATTATTTCTTAATTTAAAAAAAAATTGATTTTAAATTATTGGCTGGTGGGGCACCTAGGAAGACTTGTGGGAAGTTCTAAGCCTCTGTGAATGATTGGTAACCACATTTGGGCATCTTTTGTATCCAAAGGTGGCTTCAGAAAGAGAGCTCAATTTTTTTTCTCTCCCTCTAGCATAATCATTCACTCTATCAGAGTCCTCTGTATAAGAAACACACAGAGAGGACCCAGGACTGGGCTATTCCTCATCTTCCCTTTCTCCTCTTTTCTGCAGTGTTGACAGCCACCACCATTTCCAGTCACTTCACATATGGTTTGCTCAGCAAGTGTCGAGGGCCCTCAAGGGCGCATCCCTCATCAAGCTGAGGAAAAATTAGGAATTTATGTGCAAAAGCTACTCGACAGTCCAGATGAGTAAAGACAGCAGCCTTGGGCTCTGCTGATAACTTCTACAAATTTTGGATGTTAGCCTTCTTCTTACACAGTTTTCTCATCCATGTACTCTGAGGCTTAATTAACTAATTTCCTGTCCAAGACCTCTTCTAATTTTCTACAGTTCTATGATTCTGGCTCAGAAAATTTCCTCACTCCCCTGTTTACTCCTGACCTTGCCCCCTGCTCCCTGCCCCCACCCCCCAGGCTTCTCCCTGCCCCCACCCCCCATTAAGAGTCACAGAGCACCCATAATGCACAGCACTGCAAGGAACATGGAAACAGAACTCGTGACTCCCCCAAAGAGAAGCTGAAACCATGAGCAGAAATGATTAAAATCAGAAACTGGAAGATGGAACATGACGCTAAATGGAAAGCAGATTGATGTGAGTGAGGAGCTGGGGGAGGCTATATTCCAGGTATTGGAGGACCCACAGGCTGCGGGGTAAGCAGGTGAGAGGGAGACACTACACGTAAATATGGGAAGAGGCTGCCCCTTTCCTGTACTGATCAGCTCAGAGGGTCAGAGCCCTGTCCTTAACTGAAGTGCCCACCTTCAGTTCCTCAGGAAACTGTTTCTCCCTGGGCAGCTTTCCCGGGTCTGGCATGGCCGTCAGGAATAAAAACTCCTGTTTGGTGCTGTATGCTAGGAGAGAAAGGTTAAAATGTCTTCTCAAGGAGAAGCAGACACACAGATCAGTACAACAGAATAGAGTTCTAGAAACAGACCTGCACAAATATGCCCAACACTCTTTTGATAGAAGTGCAAAACCAATTTGGTGGAGGAGCGTCTTTTCAATAAAATGATGTTTGAGCAATTGAATACCTATAGACAAAAAGTTAACCTTTGCCTAAATCTCATACTTCATTCAAAAACAAACTCAAAATGGAACAACACTTAAATGTAAAACATAAAACTGCAAAAGTTGATAAACTAAATCTCATCAAGGTAAGAACTTTTGGTCTGCCAAAATCTAGACAAAAATATTGACTGGGAGAAAATATTTGCAAAACATTTATCTGACAAAGGATTCTTGTCTAGAATATATAAAAAATGCTCAAAATTCAAAGTTTTTATTTCAAGCTCTTTGGAGAGTTACATGCAATTGGGGGAAATAACGTAGCTCGATGTGCCCTATACTCACTTTCCCCCATGGTAACATCTTGCACAACTACAAACAGAATCACAAGCAGCATTTTAACAGGGTAACAGTGAAGAGGCATTTTTGTCACTGCAAGCATCCCTCATGGTGCTCGTTTCTAGCCACACTTACCTCCTCATTTCTAACCCTGTCCCCAGAGCAACCACTAAGTTAATCTATGCTCCATAATTTTGCCATAATTTTGCCATTTTGAGAATATTATATTATATACCACATATAACCTTTTGATTACTTTTTCCCTTTCAGTGTAATTCCCAGGAGATTTACCCAGCTATCTGGATCTATCAGGAGATTGTTTATTTTTTATTGCTGAGTAGTACTCCATGGTCCTGATGCACCACTATTTATTGAACCAGCCACTGGTTTGCTTAACCAATCCCCTGCATTAACTCAGACATCTGAGTTGGCATATAGAGCTCTGAGTTAAAAAAAAAAAAAAAAAAAAAAAAATCCAGGGCTCTCCCTGGTGGTGCAACTGGTTAAAGCACCGCATTATGAAGCTCTCTGAAGCCACTGCAGCACAAGTTCGATCCCCAGCCAGAGAGCTGACCTACATGGTGTGGCAGATATCTTTTGACCTGCCTGCTGCTCCCCTCAGCAGTATACTTTGTCAATCTGCCTATTCTGCTCCCCACTCTGGATTCTGGAGGATTCTGGTGAGTCCTCTCACCCACCACACCTCTGGTCTGTATCCCAGTTCTGTAAGCATAAATAAATAAATAAATAAATAAATAAATAAATAAATAAATCAGTTAGGAAACCAGCAAGACAAGAACAGACATTTCACTGAAGGTGATACAAAAGGGTGTTCAACATCATTAGCCATCACACAAATGAAAATTAAAAACACAATGAGATACATGCCTATCAAAATGACTAAAATAAAAAACAGTAAAAACTCCAATGTCAGAGAGAATGCAAAGAAATGGTCAACAGTGCTGGTGGTAATGTGAAGTGGGAAAGCTTGGTAGTTTCTTAAAAAACGAGAATACAACTCATATAACCCAGAAATTGCAGTAGCACAGAAATGTGGGCATTTATCCCACAGAAATGAAATGTATATTCCCAAAAAATTCTATATGTAAAGATATGTAGCATCTTCACTTGTTAACAGCCCCAAACTAAACAACTCAGATGTCTGAGCTGACACAGGGGACTGGCTAAGCCAACCAGTGACTGGTTCAGTAAAAAGTGGCACATCCGTACCATAGAGTACTACTCAGCAATAAAAAGGAACAATCTGATTGATACAGTAAGGTGGGTACATCTCCAGGGAATTACACTGGAGGGGAAAAAATATCAAAAGGTTATATACTGTATATAATATTCTCAAAAAAGCAAAATTATGGAGCATACTCACCACAACGTAAAGCAGGACAAATGCCCACGCCTGAGCCCCAAGAAAGCACCCACGCTGGTGCTGCTGGGAGGAGACCCACCCAAGGAGCCCACAGAGAAAGTAAGCCCACTCACCCTCAGGAGAGGTGCTAAAGAACACCTGTCCATCCCTTCCAACTCCCCTCTCACACCACCGTGGCATTAAGGACTTGGATGTCATGACCTCCAAGGGCAGTTTTTAGATTAAAGTCCTTTGCTTCTATGACAGAGGTCCTCAATCTGTGCATGCATCAGGAACAATGTCACAGCAAGGTCTGGATTGGCCAAAATTCATTCCAGGAGGAAGCATACCTACCGTCAGGGTCTTTAAAGGTCAATGTGATGAACTTGCTAGCCACCATGAACATGAAAATCACCCAGAAGCATGCAGCCAACAGAAGCCACTGGTGGTGCATGTTGTCAAATGTCAGCCATTCAGTGATTCTTCCTGAAAAACACAAGCAAAATGTCCCTAGTGCTTACAAATAAACAGATTCAACAAAAGGTGATTAAAAAAAAAAAACAGAACACATGATTTCAGTTAATAGCAGTAATCATAATATTTTAAAATTTTCTGATAGTATGGGTATTTTACTTAGAATTTACCTTTCAATTAATAATATAAACTTCCAGTTTTTATCATTCAATCCAATGTGAGATACCCAAATGGTTATGTCTATTTGCTTTTGGAATCCTGATGAGATTTTTGCAGGTTTGCCCTGTGGGTGCATTCTGCCTCAAGCTAAAGCAAAATTTGTTGTTGGTTTCCAGCAACAGCCAGAGCTGGGAGTATAAACAGGTGGAGATGCCAAGGGCTAGATTTTTGCTGCGGGTAATTTGCAGAGGGCAGAAGGCACACTGAAGCAACTATGGGCAGGCTGTGTTTGAAGTCCTGACTTGCTGGCAAACTATAGCTACAACTAGAGGTTTTAAAACAGAATGGAAACAAACACCACAGCCTCTCCATCTCCATTCACTTGCCTGCAAGGGCCTGTGTAGAACCTTGGGGGTGAGGGGTTTTCATGCTATCACCTCCCAGGAGTGAAGCAGGGAAGGTCAGTCCTCAGCACATCACACAAGTCACACTCTGCTGCAGGGAGACAAAACCGGAAAGTAGCAGTCACAAGAGAAACCAGAAGTGTGTGTTATTTACCTCTAACACAGTGCTCCTTCAAGTCAAAGCAAACCCTTTAAAGAGACAGGACTGTGCTGGGCTGGTTTCTAACCCAAACTAGGGGCAAAGCACTGGTCCTCTTGACACAGGGCTGGCAACAAATAATTCCAGAGAGCTTCTGTGCACTCTATGTGGACACTCCACTAGGGACTCAGGAATCAGTCTCCCCCTTCACAACATTTACTTCTCCTAACCTCACTAGACACAGGCATGTGAATGAGAAACCTAGTTCCCTCCACAATACCCAGCAAGTGGGCATCCAGCCTACACCTGAATGCATCTGTGATCAGGATCTGATCACCTGTCATGCAGCCTGTGACATATATGGAGGGTCCTGAGTCATCCTCTGACAGCCTCAGGGACTCATTCGTAGACCCAGTGTGGCTCCAAGTAGAGTTGCCAGATTAAACAAATAAAAATGTAGGCTGCTCAGTTAAGTTTAAATGTCAGATAGATTAGTAATTTTTAGCAGTAAGCAGCTGCAACTACAGCATCAGATATACTTATACTAAAAAACGATTTATCTTCTCTCAATTTCAAATGCAACTGGCTGTCTCGTATTTTATCTGGTTAACGCTCCCCACCAAAGGGACACCAACCCCTCTCTACCTGCAGAGCCCGCTGGCCTGTCTCAGTGGCATCTCCTTTCCTCCCTTCTGCCACCCCTTCCTTGTTTGAATTATCAAACTATTTCCTTGCCAGCAGAGGCAAAGACGTAAAGCACAACTGTCCATCTGGTCATTCCCCATCTCAAAGTCATTTCCACAGGTAGAGCGGGGAGTATGCTAAGCAAGCACAAGCCAATCTGGCTAAGGGTATCATATTATGCATTGGCATCGAGGTCTCGAAAAACAAAATCTACAATCTGCTTCGCTGGGTTTTTATGAATTCTAAGAGTAGTGTGTCTAGCTGCCTGTGGCATGCTTTTTGCTTAGAGATTATATGTGTTTTGAATCTAGTTATCTACCTAAAGGTATGGTTCCCAGTCCTGGCTGAACATCAGAATCACCTGGGGAGAGGCAAATCAATAAAATTTGAGAGGAAAAAACCAAAAACAAAATGGATGATTCAAAACACTTAAGAAACAACCAAAAGAAATCAGCTGGGGAGCTTTAAAAACAATCGCAATGCCCTGGTCCCCTGAAACATTTCAGCCAAGATTACACAAATCTCTGGAGATTGATCCTGGGGATGTTTTGAAAGCTCTGCATAGGATTCTAGATGACCAACCAGGACCAAGAACTACTGTGCTATGCCCCCAATCCCACACAGACTCCCTGAGAAACTTGTTAAAATGCAGATTCTAGGCAATGTAACATAATAGCCTTTCTCCCACCACCTACTTCCATTATAAGCAGGGAAATTGGTAGCAAGAGAACATCTCAACAACTAGAGTCTATTGATGTGCTGAATTACAAGTACGCTGAATAGAGAGCTTAAGATTTAATTAAAATCAAAGACCTTCTGTCACTGTTCCCAGTTACTTTCTTTTCCAGCCCTCCCTGAACTAGGCTCTGTAGAATTAGGATTTGGTCTGATCTTAGAAAAACCATGTCAATTCGTTCCATTTTTTTTCCTAAAGAAAGGCTTCCAAATTCCCCTTGGCCCCTGCATCCCTAAACCTACCCTAATGTCTGCACTGTTGCCTTGATTACATAAGTTCTTCATGGGGTTTTCTCATGCCCAAAAATGACACCCTCAAGGCTCACTGTTTCTGTCTGTAAAGTCTGGAGTCTGGATATCACAGGAGCCACTACTCTCTCTGCAGTCCAATAACAAATGGCCTTTAAAAAGCCTGACATTTCCTGTAATTAGTTCTTTGTTCAAGGAGCAACCCCCAAAGAGCCTCTTGCAGCTAATGGTAGCAAACCTGAGTGTCCCCTGTGGTCATGATGTACACCCTAAGCAAAGCCCTCTATACCCCAGGGGTGGGAGTATCCATCCTCACAGGAAATCCATCTTTCCTATTTCCAGTTACTAAATGGGATTTCCATGTGTTGAGAGGTCAGGATCTGAAAGCAAGCCCTCTGGAAGCCCACCGAACAGACTGGTGGTGAAAGAACATAAAACCTCCTGGTTTTTAGCCAGCAAGAGCCTAGCTGAAACTACAAGGAGTTTCAAATTATTTCTCTCTCTCTAAAAGAAGAGAAAAACAGTACACATTTTACATGTTTATAATCACTAATATTGGAACTATTACATCTTTTGGTATAAATTCTCCCTCCCCTGCATTTTCAAAAAGATTCTTGTAAATTCATTTCACTCAGCTGCCAGAAGCATTCCTGCCAGGGGCTTTCCCCCGCTGTGTTTGAGTTGTCATCCAAAAGCATAAAGCCTCTGTGAATGTGTGCTGAAGACACTGACTCCCACCTTCATGCTCTATGTTTACTATGCATATTTGCTCATTAAAGGTTCTGAAAAGTCCTAGGGTCAAGAAACCCACTTAACATCTGTTTAAAACAGTTTTCTCCCCAAATGTCACTCATTCATTCAGCAACATAAATCAAATGCCTACTCTGACCTAGGTGTGGCAAAACATATTCCCACATTTTCTGGTCCAACAGAGGCAGTCATGGCACAAATACATAGTCATGCATGCATAGATCACACTAGGAATTAAAGGCTATGGTTGATGACAAAGATAGGGATAAAGAGGAAGACACTGAGAAGACATGGCATAGAGAGAAGGGACAAATTATGCAACCACTTGGAGCTTGGTTTGGGTTCCAGAACCCCCAAAGCAGGAAGGAGGCCATTGTCCCTCACGCAGCATGAGCAAGGGAAGGAGTGGATCAGACGGGAGGGGGCGTTCCCATCAGTGACACTTTACTAAGGTGGAAACTCATGGAACCCACCCTATCACATGCAGCCTAGAAGAAGACCCTGTGCCCGGTGTTCGTTTTTAAAACATTCTTTCAAAGCACACCCAGACACTGAAGGGAAGGGCCTGAAGTAAATTGGTAACACACCAGGAACTAGTCACCGTGGGGGACGGAAACTAGATAACCAGCTGAGGGCTGAAAAACTAGGGACATCTTATCGCCAACACTTTTATACCTTTTGATTTTGAACAAAAATGTATTACCTAGTCAATAACATTATAAAACTACAAATTAAGAAAACACTGCACATTTAGCACCTAGTTCTATTTCATTATCATTTTAAAATTCACAGTAAAGAGTTTTCTCAAATTAAGTTCAAAAATTTCCTTTGGTTATGGGTGCCATCATCATCATTTGCATCTTCAAATGACTGATTATCCTTAGTTACCAGAATGAATACATTCCTAGCTCTAGCTGGCCACAGACACAGCTGAGTTAAAATAGGTTCTCAAGACATTGAAAATGAACGACACCTGTAAGTGCTCCCTGCCCATACGGCATTGCTTTTAGCAGGTGCTGACCTCACCTAATCCCCAGCCTGAGAGGACTGTCATTATTATATTTAAGATAACATTTCTACATATTATGTGTACATACTCCTACCTAAGAGTTTTAAGTTTCCTAAAATTTCCACATGAGCAAGAAAGGAATCAGTAAGAATACTAAATGACATGGATCTTAAATGACTTTTAGGTTGATATTCTCCTCCCTACAACCTAGGGATCCACATTTCCTTGTACCGCTTCCCCCTCCCCTGCCATAGGTATAAATTCCACCCCCCCCCATAGGTATAAATTCCTCTTGTTACTGCACTGAATAATTGACAAAACAGTAAGTACTCTTAAAAGTTATAAGATCAGGCCCTCCCTGGTGGCACAATGGGTTAAAACACAGCACTAAGAACCTAAAGCCACTTCAGCATGAGTTTGATCCCTGCCCACCCCGGAGGTGACCACATGGCTTGGCAGGCCTCTCCTGACCAGCCCGCTGCTCCCCTCAGCAGTGTACCTCCACAATCTGCTTGCTGTGCTCCCCACTCTGTCTCTGGTGAGTCCTCTCACTGCCCCTACACCTCTGGCCTGTACCCCAGTTCTGTATGCATAAATAAATAAATTTTTAAAAAATTGTAAAATCAACTTACTGGACATAACTTGGTATATAAATGGGAAATAGTTAACCACTTGCAATAACTCAAGTTTATTTTGCATAACAGTTCTCTCACAGAGACGGATATATTTTGATTTCTTGGTAAATGACTAAGTGTCATAAATATACCAAGAGATTTGTATTAAAAGATTTTTCCTTGTAACTTAGTATGAGATATAATCTTTGTAGCAAAAGTAATCAAATCCTATTATACCTATTTTACATGTTTGATAATAGGAGGAGGATTTCTTTACTAGATGATCAAATCTTCCTATGAAAGATATCTTTTATATCTTCAAGCTTTAACAACCTGACATTTTAATAAAATGTCTTATCATGGAAATAAATCAAACTCACAGAATTAAAGAATTACAGATTTCATGGAATTAGCTGGCAAAATAAACATACAACTTATTGAATACATGATATGGCCCAAGCTGCATGTAACATGATTTAGCTGTTTCCCTCTTCTCTTAAGATCTTTATATTAAAATTAAAAGCAACTTCATATTACACAAATGGAAAGATTAAGCTTGCTGCACTCACATCCATCTTCTTCCAAACCTAGATCAGAAGAAAAGGGACTTTCTGGCTTCTATAATCTGGAAGGTCCCAGATTCACCTTTCTCCCCATTTCTATTTCTGGGACTCTCTGCCTTTTCATTGTACAGCCTCAAACACCTGAAAAATGATCTGAATATAACCACAAATTACCCATGATAATTCCTTCCGCCCTTTGCTCACTTTTATAAACATTCCCGTTTTCATTCCAGGAAGGCAAGAATTCCTCTACCAGGTATTTCTTGGAGAGTCTATTAGTCACGGTTAAGAGTAAAGATGGATTTTATTTCCATCTTGACATTCCAATTTTGATCCAAGAAGGACTATGTCTTTACTATAATGGTGGGAAAAGAAGACCCTTTCTCCCTTTGTGTCTTTTTCTTTATAGCACAGTCCCTAAAGAGTGTGGGCAAGCCCTAGCTAAACTGAACCGCCTAAATTTAAGAAAGCCTGTGACGTTTCACTCTGGCAGTTCAAAATGACCAAGACCCAACTCTTCATGGACCAAAGCCTAAGATTTTGCATGCTGCAGACAAAAACAAACAAAAAGCCTTTTATGACAGTCCTCCCATGTGGTTCACAAGAACCTGGCAGCACTACCTGGCCCTTTGCTGCTTTGAGCAGACTTGAGAAACAAAACCGACAGCTTTAGGAAAACCTGCCTCATCTTTCCCAACCAGTAGAGCAGAAATTGATGCCTCAATTTCTAACTTCTGACAAGCAGCGCGGATTGTCAAAATCAGCGATGGTAAAATCGGCGGCCAGGCGCATGCCGAGCCTATCAGGCAGGAAACAGGCTTGCCCGAGTGTCGCCTCCTTCTCGCCCACCCGAGCAGTGCTCAACTGGGCTCCAGCACACATTCGCGCACTCTCTCCTCTCTTTCTGCATGTTCGTTCCTCCCAAGTGGAACACTGTCTTTCTTTTAATGCAAACATGCTCCTTGGTCCCAAACTCTCACTCCAGGATATTAGAAGTAAAATCAGAGATCACCCAGTATTATTCCATCCAACATTGCACCCCTCTGCAAGGACGCCACCTTATTGCATAATTAACACGAGGAAGGTTCTTCTCCACAATCCCATAAACTAGAAGGTCCCCCAGTAGCCCAAACACACCGTATGTTGCTCGGAGAGAAATTCACCCGTTTCTCCGTCCATCTGGGGGAGGCACGCAGCCGGGCTCCAGGGACCCGAGAAGCTCCCGGTCCGTGCAGCCGGGGTCCTCCGGCCCTCCCCGCCCTGGGCAAAGCTCCGCTCCGGCCTCGCGGGCCTGTGCGAAGGATGCAGGGCGCCGGCGTCCCGGGAGCGCGGGAGGCCCGCCTCGCTCGGAGGCCTCCACACCGCCACTCGCCAGGTCCCGGGCGGCTGCGGCAGAACCGGAAAGAGGAAGACTGGCCCGAGGCGCCGTGAGGGGGTACGCGAGTGGGGAGGCCGCCGCCGCCGCCG